GCTTCCCGCTCGGCAACGACCCCAATTGAAGTTCTAAATTCCCATTTACATGGCAACTTCTCCCGCTGCGGCTTCGTGTGTGGAGTTACACGCGACGGAATTCCTGTGTTTTGGCTCCGCTACCAGTGAGCCTTGGTACTGCGGCCTCTACCCCACCCCTCCATCAGCCTACTCCTACTCCTTACAAGTCATCACAGGTCATCACAGGTCAACAAAATTCCCCAAAAGTCAACACAGGTCAATGAAGGTCCCCACAGGTTAACACAAGTCATCACAGGTCACCACAGGTTAACATGAAGGTACAAGCGTGCAGTGGTTTAGATTCTGACAGGTGTGTAGACAGGTGTAGGTTATACAGATGTGGTCCTGGTATGTGTGGTTATTTAATGGTCCCTGGTGATTGGTGAGGCCGAGTTTGTCTTGTAGTTTGTCCTTCGTCTAACTAAATAAATTTGACTTGTTGTTTCGTCCTTGAGGTGGCAGTGTTGACACCTCACCTAACCTAACCTAACCAAACCTAACCTTACATAATCTTACCTTACGTAACCAATTTCTAGCTTGGTTAGGTTAGGTTAGGCTAGGCTAGGCTTCTATATATAATATTTCCCGGTTATATTCCATCTGATATGACGATACACACACACACACACACACACACACACACACACACACACACATGTATTATCTTACTGTATAAATAAAACCTTTACGATGTTTTAACCTTCAAATAGAAAGATCTGTTCCCTTGACTACAAAATAAGAGCAATATTATATGTATGGGCAATATCACCAGCAATATAATGAGCAGTACCATGGCCAATAAAGTGGGTTAATATAGTGGGCAATATCATGGGCAATATAGTGAGCAATATAGTGGGCAATACCATGGGCAAGATAATGAGCAATATAATACGTGAGCTAAGAAGGTCACTCAAGCAACCAAACCCATCTAAAGTTACGAAAATCTTCCCCCAAAAAAGAGGAAGATCCGAGAGGAGCATTAATTATCCACACTTCAAGCCGACACCCCTCTGAATAATGGTTCAAACTGTGTAGGTGGGTGTAAGTGGGTGTAGGTGGGTGTGGGTTGGTGTAGGTCGATGTAAGTGGGTGTGGGTTGGTGTAGGTGGGTGTAAGTGGGTGTAGATGGGTGTGGGTTGGTGTAGGTCGATGTAAGTGGGTGTGGGTTGGTGTAGGTGGGTGTGGGTTGGGTGTAAGTGGGTGTAAGTGGGTATAAGTGCAATTAAGTTGGTGTAAGTTTCTCCTATCTCACCCTCTCCCTCACACCCCCTCTCTCCCTCCTACACTGACTCTCATCTCTCTCTCTCTCTCTCCCCCCTCTCTCTCTCTCTCTCTCTCTCTCTCTCAATGTACACTCCTAAACTCGGGTACTTATCCCGGGTATGGTCTAGTCAGCTCGGGTATTTGACCCAGATTGTACACTATTAAACCTCTGTAGTTTCCCCATTAAGTTGTTACCATCAAACTAAAGGGGAAATGATTCTGTAATGACCAATAGCAGGTGAGATGTGTCCTGTGCCGTGTTCTCATTGGTTTAATTCTACATCAGTGGAATTATCGGTAAGTGTTTCAATTATCGGTTCTTATTTTTTTTTGGGGGGGGGGGGTGAGGTGGGGTGGGGGTGGGGGATGGGGGTGGGGGGGGGTTAATTGAGTTATAAAGGTATGTGAGTAGTGAAGAACTTACCTAACTCACTAATTACCTCCGTCCTGAACAATGTGGCGAGGTATTGGAATGATTATGTATGTGTGTGTGTCTGTGTGTATGTGTGTATGTATGTATGTGTGTGTGTGTGTGTGTGTGTGTGTGTGTATCTTTGTGTGTCTGTGTCTTTGTCTGTGTCTTTGCCTGTGTCTGTCTGTCTGTCTGTGTCACCAATAGTGTAAGGTCAAGGAAAAAGGTCAAAGGATTCTTGTAGGATTCTTTGTCGGCTCCTAACCCAACAGAGCATTATATTGGAACAGACAGACAGACACACAGACAGACAGACAGACAGACAGACAGACAGACAGACAGACAGACACACACACACACACTAATTTCAGTTTCAATTATTCTCATCTTATTATCGTGAGTAGAAGGCCCAACCAACCTCCCCACTCCCCTCCCCACTCCCCCACTCCCCACTCCCTCTCGCCCCTCTCCCCTCCCCACTCCCCTCCCCACTCCCTCTCGCCCCTCCCCTCCCCCCTCCCTCTCCGCCCCTCCCCTCCCCTCCCCTCCCCTCTCCGCCCCTCCCCTCCCCACTCCCTCCCCTCCCCCCACTCCCCACTCCTCTCCTTCCCCTCTCCCCTCCCCACTCCCTCTCGCCCCTCTCCCCTACCCAAGTCTCGTAACCTATTCTTGTGTCTCTTCTCTAGTAATTGAATGTAGGATGGGAAGACTAACCTCACGTTTCTACACTGAGGTTTGGAGGTGGGAGGTGGGGAGGTCGGAGGTCGGAGGTGGGGAGGTCGGAGGTCGGAGGTGGGGAGGTTGGAGGTCGGAGGTGGGGAGGTTGGAGGTCGGAGGTGGGGAGGTGAATCCCGGAGGTAGAGGTCGGAGGTAGAGGTTGGTGGAGGCTGAGGAGGTAATTCAAACTGCCAGTTGACGATATGATCCATGACCTTCAGTTCAAAGAAAAAATGTCAAGTTATCTTCGGAAATCTGTGTAAAATTTTATATACTTTGTGTGACTGTATGCTATCATATTTCTGTACTGTCTTACTGTCTGTCTGTCTGTCTGTCTGTCTGTCTGTCTGTCATTATACCATTTCTGTCTGTCTTACTGTCTGTCTGTCCTGTCTGTCTTTCTGTCTGTCTGTCATTTATACCATTTCTGTCTGTCTTACTGTCTGCCTTTCCTGTCTGTCTGTCTGTCTGTCTGCTTCCCATACCTGCATTTGTGTGTCTGTGCATATATACATATACCATTTGTGTGTCTGTCTGTCTGTCTGTCTTACTGTCTGTCTGTCATATGTCTGTCTGTCTGTATACTTTGTGTGACTGTGTCTATCATATTTCTGTCTGTCTGTCTGTCTGTATACCATTTGTGTGTCTTTCTGTCTGTCTTTCTTTATATCATTTCTGTCTGTCTTACTTTCTGTCTGTTTGTATACCATGTTTCTGTCTTTCTGTCTGTCATTATACCATTTCTGTCTGTCTGTCTGTACGTCTCTATGTCTCTGTGCCATTTCTGTCTATATTTAGTGTATTTTTTTTTTACTGTCTATGTTTTCATGTTCTCTCTGTTTCCTTCCATTCTTCCCCTTTTCTCTCTGCCTGTCTCTATTTATCGTCTCTCTCTCTCTCTCTCTCTCTTCTCCTCACATATCAAACTCTCCCTCACTGTAAAAATATCTCAGAAAACCTTTCACTCGTCACATATACTTCCTCAAGAGGTAATTTTCTATGTGTTAGAGAAGGGAGACGTTGTGTGTGTGTGTGTGTGTGTGTGTGTGTGTGTGTGTGTGTGTGTGTGTGTGTGTGTGTGTATGTGTGTGTGTGTGGGCAAGATGTGAGTAGAAACACAACCAGAGTAACAGCCGTGGACTCAACTCGAGTACAGAGGAAGTAATGTAACTTTTTTTTTAAGAGTACTTGTTAGCAACTTCTGAAGGAGTGGGTGAAGGAGGGGGGTCATTGTGGTGGTGAAGATGGTAATACCTTTAGACTCCAGACCTTGAGACCAGAGTTCGATCTCCGGTTCAGGCAGGGCTGTGAAGGGGACGGTTAGAATATTCGAGGGGACACAGTGGTGGTGGTGGTTGTGGTAACGCTGTATATTTCCCACCTGAGAGATCCGGGTTCGATCCTCTCCGTCAGGTAAGGCAGGAGGGAGGCAGTGTGTGTGTGTGTGTGTGTGTGTGTGTGTGTGTGTGTGTGTGTGTGTGTGTGTGTGTGTGTACAAATATACCCTCATCTATCCTATCTTTATCTCTATATCTCACACATCTATATTTTTTCCTTCGTATCTATTCATCTCTATTATCCTGTTCGTTTATTTATTATGTTTATGTATATGTTATTCTCTTACTCTTTCTTTTCATTCATGTGTCGTATTTGATAAGGGGACGAGTTTTTAGTGTTGTTTATAATGATGACTTAGTGTGTCATGTTTGTTACTCAGGGTACGTCAGTCACCCCTGGTCGGGAGTCACCACCAGATGGCCCTGGTCCTGAGTCACCAGCAGATGGCCCTGGTCGGGAGTCATCAGTAAGTAGTTGAATGAGGGCGCGCCAAGTCCGTAGACTTACTGATGGCCCGTGTCCTGAGTCATCAGTTAGTCACCCACAGATGGCCCTGGTCGTGAGTCACCAGCAGATGACCCTTGTCGTGAGTCACCAGTAGGTCACCAGCTGATGGCCCAGGTCACGAGTCACCAGTAGGTCACCAGCAGGTAGTCTCGTATCAAAGTATATTCAATATTTACGACTCCGGGTAACTTGGCAGCGTTGAGGAGACCCCGGCGAGCTATATAATCAAACTTAGATGTATTAGTGTCAGTGTGTGGGGCCCTCACTCCTACCTCCCGCACGTTTTTACACTGTTTCCACCTGGTTTACGCAGGGAGTTACGCTATAGTTTAGAAATTCATGAGTGATAAATTTGGGTTATCATCCCACGTGATAGCACAAAGGATTTTATGCCGCAAAAGACAGCAGCGGATCCAGGATTTTTTTTATTCTACGGAGAAGGAGGGAGGGAGGAGGCAGGTATCAAAATCCCATCGCCAAATCTCATAAGGTGATGTTTATGGCGTAAGAAAATTGGTTTGTTTGTTAGGGTGAACGAGTGTGTTTATATGGTGGTTGGGGACGCCAGGTCGCGGCGGAACAAGGCGTTGGATTCACCGCTAAAATAAGAGTTATCGCGGGCGTTTTATATTTTTTGGAGGGGAGGATCGACTTTGAACACGACGCCACCTAGCAGAGCGGCGGTGGGTGGTACTGATGGCGGGCTGGTCTGCACCCTCAGTGTCGCTCTGCGTGTGGTTCATATAGGACGCATCTCTCTCCAAGTCGACACTGGTCCGATCCTAGAAATGTGATCACGACAGCTTTCTCACTATATGAATTAGTTCTTTAACTCGTGAACTATAATGAACAGTTAAGTAATAGTCTTCTCTCTTGTTAACTCAGCTCCAAACTTTGATATGCACAAACCAGGACTTTGTATAACGTCAAAACTTCACTGAAGTTTTGCACACAAGAAGTTACATCCATCAGAAGGAGGAGTGAGGTCTTGGCATGATACATATGTAAGTAGGTCATTAAAATTTATCTTTATTAAATCATTTCTTCACTATGGCGGCTGTATGTAAGTCTAATATTTGCTTGAGTTCTGCAAGTTAATTCACGTAATATCTAAGAGAACAATAACTCCTATCAAGCGGTCGTTAACACTCCTTTATGGCGGGGTAAGTAAGGACCATTTGTGTCTTTGTGTGTGTCGGGAGGCATATTGATTTACAGCTGTCTGTCCTTCCTTCTAACTCAAGTATATTGACAGAAAAAAAATACTCTCAAGTGTAAATCGATGAAATTTTTGTAGCCTTCGTCGTGTAGGTCTTTACGCAGCAGAAGGTCATGTATATCTGACATTTACTCCTATACTAAACCTGTTGCAGATGTCCCAAAGATAAATAAACACATAGTAGACTTATTATCGCCCTGTGAACCGGTGGCTCCTGTATCTGAAGCGTCCCCAACGAGCTCGAGTTAGTGGTGATGTTTGGTAACCCACCTCATCATCAACAGATAATGAGATAAATAATTTTCCCTGATGTGTGGGAGATAAGACTAAGATTTCCTCCGGGTTATTTGACACATTTTACGAGGAGTCACAGAGTAAAATAATCCTGTGTTTCTGTACTGAATCTGTTGCAGTTCTGACAGTCTAGTGTTTGAAGTACAAGTCTAAACTGGTGAATTTCCCCCTGATAGGAGGTCTTTTGAGTCTTGGAATTGAAGGGACATAACTATGACCAACTCCTCTGTTAGTTCTCATGCAGTAGGCGTGGCTGTAACGCATAGCCAGTGAACCATATGAATAAAAATCACCCCCTATCGACCCTACCAATCGTGGTTTACGAGTCAGCATCAGTGTGTGTGTGTGTGTGTGTGTGTGTCTGTGTGTGTGTGTGTCTGTGTGTGCGGGGAGGTGGCGGTAGTGGTGGTTCTGGACAGTGTGTCTTGGACATAGGTGGAGGAAGGACGTGTTTCACCCTGGGCTCCTTCCTTCTGCTGCCGATTACTCCTCCTCCTCCTTCACCCTCCGTACCAACACCACCCTGAAGAAGGTACACTCGAGGTGGTAGGTGTCCAAATCCTTTTCTCTCTCTAGTGATTAACTGATTACGTATCTTACTCTATCTCTTATCCATGATTACCAAAGACAATATCTCACACCAATAAGGATAAAAAAACAAACAGATTTAAGAGAATTATCCTAAAAAAAAAAACACGACCATTGTTATCCAAGGTGATTCCCCGCTCTGTGTAACTCCCGTGTCTGGGTATAACAATTAACGTCTCTTTTTGCCTGTCTGTCTGTCTGTCGCTGGATAGATTCAGAGATATCCTAACCCAACCCAACTTAACCTCTTGCGTATGGATAGAAAATTAAACTATATATTTTACTGAAGGATAAAAAATAAGTGAAATTGAAGTCATGTATCAATTTGTTATTATATACATACGTGACACAGAGATACATATACACTGTATCACCAACACATACAGTATACATTACGAGTGATACGTCCCAATTAATGATGATTTTACAGGTAGTGAATAGATAAAAAAAAATATGAATGCAGTAAATCATCCATATAACGAATTTTTTTCCACATACAATCCGTTAAATGGAGGGTTCACTAACGGACACTCGATATAACGGACTTCATCTCTATTACAAATCATTCAATGGAGGGGGAGTTTCACATTTAACGGACACTCGATATAACGGAATTTCCTCTCCATACAGTCCGCTAAATAGAAGTTTTACTGCACCACGAGAAAGTAAATAAGTATATATGTGACTCAATTATGTGACTCAATAATGTGTAGAGGAAAAACATATATTTGAGGGCCATGTTATGTGGGGGTAACAGCACACGTCCATTATGGCAGGGAATGAGTGACGGAGTGGAGGGAATGAGTGACGGAGTGGAGGGAATGAGTGACGGAGTGGAGGGAATGAGTGACGGAGTGGAGGGAATGAGTGACGGAGTGGAGGGAATGAGTGGCGGAGAGGAGGGAATGAGTGGCGGAGTGGAGGGAATGAGTGACGGAGTGGAGGGAATGAGTGATGGGGTGGAGGGAATGAGTGGCGGAGAGGAGGGAATGAGTGGCGGAGTGGAGGGAATGAGTGGCGGAGTGGAGGGAATGAGTGACGGAGTGGAGGGAATGAGTGGCGGAGAGGAGGGAATGAGTGGCGGAGTGGAGGGAATGAGTGACGGAGTGGAGGGAATGAGTGACGGGGTGGAGGGAATGAGTGGCGGAGAGGAGGGAATGAGTGACTGAGTGAGGAATGAGGATGACGCGGAGGGAATGAGGAGGAGTGGAGGATGAGGACGGAGGTGGAGGGAATGAGTGACGGAGAGGAATGAGGGTGGAGTGAGAATGAGGATGGAGTGAGGAATGATGGCGGAGTGGAGGAATGAGGACGAGGAAGGAGGGAATGAGTACGGAGTGGGAGGGAATGAGTGAGGAGGAGGGGAATGAGGGTGAGTGGGAGGAACAGAGGCTTTATGGAGGAATGAGGTTTGGAGTGGAGGGAATGAGTGACGGGGTGGAGAGAGAGTCACTGTTTGATCTGGACTCCCGCTACTGACCTGACCTGACCTGACCTAACCTAACCTAACCTAACCTAACCTGACCTGACCTGACCTGACCTGACCTGACCTAACCCAAAATATATAGCTAATAGGATTTTTTTAATTGATATTTATAATTATTTACTTGATTTATAATACTGACAAGATATCCAGACAGACAGACAGACAGACAGACACCAATTCCATATCTCCCAACTAGAACGATAACAGGAAATAATAAACACTATCATATGTAATAAAAACAAATCACCCAGACAGATAGACAGACAGACAGATACAGAGAGACAGACAGACAGATAAACACTGTCAAATGTAATGAAAACATCGACACATTGAAGGGAATAAATCGTTTTGTCACTAATGGAAAAAACAATTACTGTTTTGAACTATAATTTGTGTTACTTTTTTGTTGATAAATATAATCTCGATATTTAGGTTAGGTTTACGTTAGATTTACGTTAGATTAGGTTTGGTTTAGGTTAGATTAGGTTAGGTTTAGGTTAGATTAGGTTATGGTTTAGGTTAGGTTAGGTTATGGTTAGATTAGGATGTGAATACCGTAACTATATAGATGCATATCAGCTGGACAGTATAAGTCACTTTGGCTGAGGCAATATTCCAGCGAGCAGATAGTGAGATAGAGAGAGAGAGAGAGAGAGAGAGAGAGAGAGAGAGAGAGAGAGAGAGAGAGAGAGAGAGGAGATGGGGAGGAGGAAGAGAGTAGAAATGATAAAAGGGAGGGAGAGAGAGAGAGAGAGAGAGAGAGAGAGAGAGAGAGAGAGAGAGAGAGAGAGAGAGCATGAGAGAAAGTTCATAGGAAATGGGTGAGTGTCTGTCAGTATAGTGTGACGCAAGTATAGTGGAGGAAGGTGCAGCATGAATCGATAGCCATTTACGCCTGACGACCAACCTGTAGGGCGTGTGTGAGACGGAGATGTGACGGGTGTGAGACGGAGATGTGACGGGTGTGAGACGGAGATGTGACGGATGTGAGACGGAGATGTGACGGGTGTGAGACGGAGATGTGACGAAGGATGTGGAGGAGGTGTGACAAGGGTGTGAGACGAAGATGTGACGGAGGATGTAACGGAGATGTAACTAGTCATAGCATCCATTACAGGTCACAGATAGTTACTTAAAACACCACATACAGATCACTGGTAGTTACTTAAAATCATCAATTACAGGTCACACAGGTAGTAATTGTAACACCAGACACAAGGCAAACACGGTAACACAATTAACCAGGAACAAACGAGGTTAATTACCAAGTGGTTAAATACGACACTGGTTACTTGGAGCGAGGCAAATCACATTATCCGGGTTAAGCACCGCCAAGTCTGCCTAATTGGAACGAAAATGAAAGTCAATGAACCGAATCTTAAGTGTTGTATTTTGTTCACCCTGATGGACTGACCTGATCCTTCAAGGGGTTAGGTTAGGTTGGGTTAACAGACAGGTAAAGTCATTAAGCTTTGGGGAATTGCGTACCTGTCTGGGGGGTGGGAGGGTTAACAGACAGGTAAAGTCATTAAGCTTTGGGAAATTGCGTACTTTGTATGAAATAATGACTAGATAATGTTAGGTTAGGTTAATTATATATACTAAGAAAATATTAAAGATTAATTAAGATTTAATTAATGTAACTTGCATGTAATCAATACAGTATCATCAACCTTCAAAATCTAATTACATTTCTATCAATTACTTAGACAAGATATACAAATTAGCTCAAAGTACCAAAAAAAAAAAATTATATAAACTATTACAAATTAAGACTTGTAACCTAACAGTCAAATTAACACCATACCACCTGAGGGTTGGTGCCCACTACCCACCCCCGCCACCAACAGAGATCCCTTTACCCATCCCCTTCACATTTTACATCTCTCTGGGGACAACAGCTTACCTATCCACCTACCCACCTATCCCCCCCCCTCCTCCGATAAGATATTTAAGCTAGATATATGAGGTAAAACACACACACACACACGCACACACACACACACACACAAATCACAGGTAAGTTCTTATTTATATATCGCGTTACCTGCACTCATTTACAAGGGGGAAAAGGTTAACGAGAGAGGTGAGTTAGGTATATTTATCTCGTTAAGCACCGAAGGTTTAGTCAGAGTCACAGTGGGAGGCAGGATGACGGGACTACTACCCACAGTACGGCGAGGAAATTAGATTTTTATTAAGTATTTTTTTTTTTTTTATCAGATGACTTCAATCTTCATTTCTTTTATGATAAGGGTCTATAGGTGAGTGGAGGTTGGTTTACGTTAGGTTAGGTTGGGATTAAGTTAGGTTTACGTTAGGTTGGGTGATTAGGTTAGGTTGGGATTAGGTTAGTTGGGATTAGGTTAGGTTTACGTTAGGTTAGGTTGTAGTTAGTTAGGTTGGGATTAGGTTAG